ACTCAATTTCCCTCATCCGGGGGAGCCTCACTTGTGAATGTTAAACCTTATAATGAATCCAAAAAACATAGATTGAGAGACACATCCCCCAGATGTTAGACAACTCCATAATGCAACAGAGCCACAATCCTTTCGCTTCTCCAATACTATTGGTGAAGAAGAAATATATATAGTTGGAGCTTTTACATTAACTCGCTCACCATTAAAAACCAATTTCTAATTCCAGCCATAGACAACTTGTTGAAAGAATTTCATGGTGCCACAATCTTTTCAAACGTAAACTTAAGGGATAGGTACCACCAAATAAGGGTAAAGCTCTCAGACATTCCCAAGACAGTTTTGCAAACCCACCACGGCCACTTTGAGTTCAAAGTTATGCCATTTAGATTAACGAAAGCACCAACAACTTTTCAGAACTTGATGAATGATATTTTCTAGTCATTTTTAAGAAGATTTCTCTTGTTATTTTTTGATGACATACTGATTTGTAGTCCGAACATGGAGTCGCACCTAGACCACCTAGAACAGATATTCAAGGTCCTACAATGGCACCAACTTACGACCAAAACATTTAAATGCTGCTTTGGCAGAAGCATGTGGAATACCTAGCCCACTTGATCACAGGGGAGGGAGTGCAAAATGAGCCCTCGAAGATTGAGGCTGTGACTACATGGTTGAGACCATCCAACCTCAAAGCACGAAGAGGCTTCCTCGCATTGACAGGATGTTACAGAAAATTCATCATAAAGTATGAAACCATAAGCAAGTCACTCACTGAACTCTAAAGAAGAATTTTTTTTAATGGAGTTAAGGGCTAGTCGAGCTTTCGATGACCTAAAGCAAATAATGACTCAAGCACCCACACACGCATTGCCGGGTTTTTCTAAGCCCTCTACTATTGAAGCAGATGCAAGTGAAAAAAGGAATTAGAGTTGTCCTCGTGCAAAGAGGCAGACCTATTGCCTATCTCAGCAAGTCCCTCAGCCCAAAGCACCAATTCTTTTCCATACACGAGAAAGAGCTTCGGGTAATTATAATGATAGTAATCAAATAGAGATATTACCTAGAGGGAGGAACCTTCATTATCCAGACTGACTAACAAAGTAGCAGGCATTTGTTGGGCTGAGGCTGCACACTACAAACAAGTGAAGGGAAAAATGAAACTACTACACGTCATCTAATAGAAGATGGTAAAGGAAAATCGAGCAGCTGATGCCCTGTCTAGACGGGATGCCCATCAGGGTGTAGAGTTGTCCAGCATGGCTACAACTACGGTATCAATGTGGGGTGCAGGAGGTTCTGAAATCCTATCAAGGGGATGATGGCATAAACAAACTGATTTTGGAGCTGAAATTGGCTCCCTTCACAAAGCTATCATATTACCTTGAACAAGGGGTCTTGAAGTACAAGAAAAGGATGGTAATTGATAACAGGAACCAACTCAAAGAGGCACTCATCAGAACCTGCCATAATTCACCTCTATGTGGTCACTCGAGAACAAAAAAAACTTATAACAG